AACGTCTGAGCGCCAAGCTGATGGTAGAATTCCTCGAGCACTTCCTCTTCGGGCGCAGTGATCAAGTAGTCCTTGAACAAACGGTAACTAATGATGTCGTCCAAGATGACGATTCGATTTGCAGTAGCCAGCTGGTACTGCTTGATAGGGGCATCGTCGTCGTCCACTTCAATAAGCTTTTCCTTGGATGGCGGCGATGGGATTTCCTTGGCTGCGAGTAAGAAGGGAGAGCTCTTCATCTTGCGAATAAGCTCCTTGTCCTTCTTCAACGTCGGCATGTTCTCTGCTAAAGACTTCAGAAGAGCGAGGTACTTATCCGGGCTCTGAAGAATGCTGAGAAGTCGTGCAGGTTCGGTGCAGGCTAGATTTGCTATCTCTGGCTTGCTTGGTTCCTCCTTTGCTCCACACTTGTAGAGGAATGTGTTCGCATTCGTCCCGAAGTCGACGAAATCGAAAATGTTACCGTAGGTCGCCGAAGTGCCCAGGTAGCATCGCTTGGGGCTGAGGTGGGTGACATAAGAGCCACTCTTCTCGCCTGAATCACGAGCCTGTCGTGTTACGGGAACAATGGGTGCATCACGCAACTTGGATAAGCTGCCCTCTCCAAGATCGCTGTTACGAAGGGCGAAATACTCAAAGAGAGTGATGGCCATTTGTTGATCCTGAGGTGGCTTGGCCAGCAGGCGAGACACACACTCCGTAATGGGAGGGTCTCTAACCACCCCAAACTTGTTGGCATGCACGTGAAGATCTTTCTTCAAGATGTCGAACCCCAGGATTGCGGCACGCTCGTTGGTGAAGCAAGCCGAAGGCGTGACCAACTTGCTGCCCTTCTGAATGGGCAAGAAAGCCTTGCGACTATCAGCGAGATTGAAGGCTCCATAGCCGTTGAGGTGATGGTTTGCAATGAAATAGGTCATAGCGGACGTTCTGAGCTCAGCATCTGTAGAAGCCATCATGTTGACCATTTCAATCACAGAAGGGTATGGTCGCAGGCCTAGGATGGCCAGGAATCGACCCTCGGGGCTGTTGGCTCTATAGCTTCCGGGCGGACCAGGCCATTGTAACACAGGCAGCCGAAGAGTTCTAAGTGTATCCTTTGGCTCGAAAAGCTCCGAGACCTTGTACAGTTCAGTTGTGCCTTTGGTCGGCTCCATTCCTTTCGCCCCATCTTCTGCCGGACAGAAACGAGTATCCTTAAGCTTCGTCATGTCGGCGGCGGGGATATCATCCTTGACTGAGGCAAGATACTTGATGAGCTCCATGTGACTCCATCTCTGCGCACCCTCGGCCGAGGGGCTCAACAATCTTGAAAAAATGGTATCGAGGTCGACCGTTTTGCGCACTCCGATTGCCGAAAGAAACTTGTCTTTCAGGCCTTGGCAGCCTTGGATGATGGGCAGATCATCAAAAAGCTTGACGGTGGGGAAGAACGAGTCGGTTGGCTTCTTCATACCCGTTTTTGTCGGCATAACAGTATGAGCCTGGAGCAGAGTGATGATCACTGACTTGGAACTTTGGCTGATGTTGTCCCAGTTCTTGGAGAGTACCGTAAGAACCTGAACGGCAAACTTTGGAGATTTTTTCAGGTTTTGCTCGTCAGACCTGCTTGATCCCAACTCCAGCAGGAAACGCAACCATGGCACGACTTCCAGAGGCTCCCAACCAAGAGCTTGCAGCTCAGCAGCAGAACAATGGTTGGTGTACGCCATAGGTATAGTGCGCGGGGGAATCGGAAGATTCGCTGGAATCTTGTTCGGCAACTGATAATTGGTAATGGAACCAAGAGCAATGATATCGCCTTGGTCGCTGCCATCTTCAGTGACCGTGGCAACAGCCACATCCAGAAGGCGAGCTTTGCTGGGAGGGTCCAGTTCTCCGCTAAGTGCCTTTTTACCGGCCCAGGCAATGAAGTTGATGAGCTGTTCTTTGTTCATTGCCTTGGTTTCCAGCTCTGTCCGCACGTCATCAACAGTGATTGGGCTGATGAGTCCAAAGTCCATTAGCTTCCTGACGAAAGCATTCTCCATGAGCTCTCGAGGTACGACAGGGATGGTGTCGACGAACTTGCTGAGCTCGTCAGAGCCAAGTCGAACCTTCGTGCTGGACAAAACACCTCTGGAAGAAAATATCTCAATGGAAGCCTTCTTGAAGGCTGTCCAGAATGCTTCCTCGAGAATCTGGGACACTTGACCGCTTGGTGTAGAATCAGCGAAAGTGAATGTCTTGAGGATGTGTAGTGCTTCAGGTAATAGCTTGGCGAGATCTTCTGCGCCAATCTTTGTCGCAGCTCCAACTACATTCTTGACTTTGGAGTCAAGGTCGCTCATCTCGTTAATGAAAGCAAGTCTTGTCATGATACCAGCCGCCCGGAGCATCTCGATGTTCCACGTCCTAACCCATCGTGCATTGAGGTCAATAGCCTCACGCTCAACCGTAGGAATGACTGATTGCGCCGAGATGTGCATGCCGGCACCGGTTGTCTGCGTTGTGGGAAACCCAATAAAGATACGGCCACCGGGCTTCTTGCTGGGCAAAACTGAAGCGAACACGTCCACGGACTTTGAGATGGTGGCCGAGCGTGAACTCTCTGAAGCCATGGTCTCATCATAGGACGAGGTGAGAATGGCTAGCTTCGTGGTCTTTGGTGGTGGTTTCTTTGTCGCGCGCTCCAATTCCGTCGCGAACGAAGTTGATACGCTGGTCTTGACCCAGGCGGTTGTCACTCGCAAGAAGATGGTTGAAGTAGAGAGTTTGGTCACGTCCTCACTAATCTCCTCCTGAGCAGCTGCCTCTTCTCTCTGTTGTCTCCCCTTTACAGTGACCTGCGATGCTGAGGAAGTCAACCTCGAGAAGAAGCTCCTCAGTGAGGGCACTTCGGATCCAGCGCCATATGTGTCGGCTGACTTGGCGGCCGCCGCAGCCTTTGGCTTCCAGCCAGCGGCACTCATGACAGCCGCATCGATCTGAGTGCTGGTTCGCTCGACTGATTTGACCTGCATCAAACCCTCTCGTGTCCGCGTCTCAATATCTCTCGGAATGGGTACGTCGAGACTGGGCGAGGTCTTCTTGTGAAGATCCAGGATCTTGTAGTCGTCGATCCAGAACTCGACATGTTGCAGAGCGACGAATGTCAAACTGGTGGCGAGAAACTGACTGACAGACAATAGGTTCGGTAGAGGAGTGGTGGTATTCCGGTAGTCGAGGACAAAGGTGGTGTCGCCGCTACTCTGTTCTTCGGGGAGAGTGGACTTCTTGGTGAAGAGTGCATTCCCTTTCCAGTAGAATGCCATGGCCTCGTTGCCAGAGCTCACAAAGGGCTCTTCGCAGTCGGCAAAGACGCTGTAGAAGCCGACACCGAAGGCACCAATCTTTGTCTCATCGGGGTTTCCCTCAGCGATCCTCTTCAATCTTCCCCAGTCGGTCTTAGTAAAGGGCTGGCCGTCGTTCGCCACAACGAGTCGACGCAGTGTGTGGTTCGCGATAACATGCTTGAGAAGTTCGGATCGGTTGGTGGTGGCGGGTAGCGGAACTGAAGTCGAGGGCAGCGTTTCCCACTTGACCTTGACAGTTGTTGCTTGGGCGTCGGCGGCATTCTGGATCAGCTCTCGCAACGTCGTCCATTCGCCCGAGTATCTGGCAAGAACCTTGTCGATCAAGGCTCTAGTGTCAACGGTGACGGCCTCCTCCTCCTCGCCGCCTTGCAAAGCGGCAGCTTTCAGCCGCGAATAGTCCATCGTAGGGTGCTGGTCGGGATTATCAAGGCGTGCATGCGATCATGGTCGAGTACGTCGAGTACTTCGGGTGTTCGCTGGGGCTTAAAAGAGGTAATCAGACAAAAGGCGGGGAAAACTTAGGAAGCTGAGGAATCGAAAGGTAGAGAACGCGGTGTGGAAGGAAGAATTATGTAGGGGAGAGGTGGGAGGCGAGGTGGGAGGTGAAAGAAGTGAGGTCGCTGGGTCGGTACGTAAGTAGGCAGCAAGTGGTGGCGATGACGGGTATCTCAAAAGGTGAGGTCGGTCCGTCGGTTGACGTTGAAGAGAGGTAAGAAAGGCTGAGACGCACGTTTCGCTCATGCAACAAGCACACCAAAAGAGGACAACGAAATATGGGCTTCAACGATGGGCCTTCAAAACGCCCCGAGCACCTGAATTAAGCTCAAATCCACTGATGACATTCCAGAAGAACAAAAGGGTAGAGGAAAGAGAAAACGCCAGGTCGTTAGCTCAGGTCCGTTTCGATGTCACCAGCTCAGTGTTAGGTTCCCTTCAGATGGACGCGCCGTTGCTACAGTGCTGCGTTGTACCTGGACCGGGCAGGCGGTGGGCACCTAGAGGCTAGAGACTGGGCCTGAAGTGACGGGACAGGAAGGTTTGGGGCTTCCAGGCTGCCGCCGACTTACCGTCTTTTGCCCCTCGGCCAATCACATAATCTATTGATAAGACTTCTTTATCGCTACCCTTGCACCCTGGCGTACCTGGATCCTTACAGGACCCTGCAGCTCTTGCACCTGCCAGGCTGCCACCCGCAACTTGCAAGACCCGTTAAGTCCGTACCTTAGGTACCTTGGGTAATACCTTATGTCTCACCTCACCTTACTTGAGAAGGTGCCCAGGCGAATTCGGATAAGGTGAGGCATCGATATGTCACTCGATAGGTTAGATGCAAGACCGCCAGAACAACGTTAACGAGAGTACTGGGAATATTTCGACGACCCTGCAAAGCCACATGTGTAAATGTACTGGATTGCGTTTTGACAGCGGCTGGTTGTAACCATCTTCACCGCATCATGGTGTAAAGTACAATCAGCGACAGCCAAGTAACAGAAAAACGTCTCGTTGCCCATTTCGCATAGAGGATGCCCCAGGCACCGAGGTCCCTCACAACTATTAAAATGCTTTTATGTGTGAAACTCTATAATACAACATATCGATGCTGGCTCAGGTATGCCGGCCTCGCTCGCTTGTGCATTTCGAAATTGGAATCTTCGTGTATCATCTTTACTTGGCCATAACGTCCACGTACCGCCCGCCCTTCTTCGCCTTCTTCGCACCCGGCTTTCGGGGACCAGCCGCGCTAATCAAGTCGTCGATGCTGCTGGCATTGCTCATACTTGTTGCCGGTCGGCTGGGAGGAGCGCTGGGAGGTCCTCCAACACTGTTATTCGATACGGAACGCATCATGCTCGGCGGTCGTGGTCCTGGTGGCACCCCCAGACTTTCGTTGGACGCAGCGTGGGCGAGTGCCGGACCAGGCGGCCCTCCAGGGGGGGCACTTGCGCGGCCCATGGGAGGGGTCATAGTGCGTGGCGGAGGTGGTGTTCCCGTGTTGGATCTTGAAGCGCCCTTTGGCGGCGGTGGTGTTGCCGTCTTTGCCTGTGTCGCTTCGGCCCCTCCCTTCTTGTTCACCCAGCGCTTCAGGTCAGGGTCGTACACGAAGCTGCTGGATTCACCAAGATTGGCCTTGACGGGCTTGTTGCCCTGCTGCTGGGGATCCGGACTAGCTTCCTTCTTGCCTCCGAACCAGCTGCCGAAGCCCCATCCCTTCTTGGACTGTTGCTGTGCTGCCGCTCGCTTGGCTATTATGTGTTAGTGTTGCCAGAATGCAAGGAAGATTTGCTTTGCTTACCGTCTTCTTCTGCCGCCTTCTTGAACATTTCTTCGTTCTCCTTGTCCTTCTCAGACTTCCCCTTCTCTTGGGGCTTAAGTGCCTTGAGAGCGGGGATATCATCGTCGTCGTCGTCATCCATGAAACTCTTGGGCTTCGGCCTTGACTCTCCCTCATCATCCTGTTCGGGCTCAGGATTGTACGAAGGAGGCTCGTAGCCGTACGGCTGGAACGTAGGCGGTTCGTACCCACCGCCCTCAGTGGGCTCTGCAGATTGTGATTGAGGCTTATCGTTTGACATTGACGGAGGCTCGTATCCGTAAGATGGCGGCTGGTAGCCTGAGCTGGCCAGGTTGTTGTCTGGCTGCTGACTGTCCTCCGCCGCCTCCTGGCTCTGAACCTCCACAGACGGGACGGTGGTGGCCTGGCTACCATACGGCTCATATCCCTGGTATGCAGGCTTGGTTGGCGACTGCATAGGAGAGTTCTGAACGGCTCCTGACAATAACTGGGCGGAAGCAGCTGTGTCTTGGCCACCGCCATACATAGGTGGAGTATAACCTTGAGATGGCGCTGACGCATTCTGAGGCATGTATCCGCCATTGGAGTACCCGAGTTGGGAGTCCATCGACGTTCGTGGCTCATAGGGACTGCGGGAATATTCGTTGGATGAGCGGCCGACCGAAGCCGGGCCTGGTGTGTAACCAGCGCCGGGTTCGTAGGAGCTTGATAGAGGTGTTTGGGACGGTCCTGGCGCGTATCGAGAGGCGGCTCTCGTAGCAGGGATGGGAACCGCAGCAGGAGGAGATCCGACTGGGAGGCTGGTGGCACCAGTTCCGTACATAGGCTCGAAGTTTGATACAGAAGGTGATCTGCTGATGGTAGGAGTGCCTCCTGCCAGCCGGGCAAATGGTCCAGATTCAGCACCGCCCTCGCCAGATGCGCCAGCAGCAGAGCCGTCGTTTTCGTCGCCAGCAACAAACTTATTAAATCGGCTCCAAACTGTATCTGAAACCTTGTTCATGCTAGGCTTGGAAATCCAGGACGATGATTCTTCCTTGGGAGCCTGCCTGAGCCTCGTTCGCAAGTTCTCTACAGCAGTCTCCAGGATCGGGTGGTGGTAGTTCGACCTCTTGGTCTGGGCGTTGATGGAGCTGGCGATTGCCTCGCAATATTGCAAGGCCTTGTCTCGAAGCCCATATTCAGCCAGAGTCATTGCGTGCTGAAGCTTGTACGCAGCCAAGTGCGGCACACCGACAGTCAAGGTAGGGCCTCCCGCGAGTGACAGACCGTACTCGTAGACCTCACTCAGCAGTAGAGCCTCCGTCTCCTTGGCAAATTGCTCTCCTTGAGTCTTGTGATCAGCGCCAACGAGGACGAAGTTCGAAGCAGGGTCATCAAGGCCTCCAAAGACTGTGGCCTTCCTGGCAAACAAGAAGCAGATATGTGCGGCTTCAGCTCGTCCATAGGAAGACAACAAGTTGCCGAGTGCATTCAAGGCACGAATGTCGTCAGTACTACGGTTGCTCAGGACTAATCCCAAAGTCTCTCGCCACTTGTCGAGTCCCTCGGTGGCATCCTTGGTCGAACCGCTGGCCGAGGTCGTATTGACAAGCTGGAATCCAGCCCGAGCGTGAGCTGGAACTAGCTCGTCAACACAGTCGTCAAAGTTACCCGAGAGAACCTTGTAAAGCGCAGCAATAGACTCGTTGGCGTGTCCGGGGTAGTTGACCTCTTTTCTGACGAATTCCTGGGCCACTTGCTTGTAGAGATCTGGGGATACAGTGTTGGAAATCAACATGGCATGGCCCCAAAGCCTCTTGTCAGCTGCTTCCCATACCGCTTTTTCGCGATCGCCAGCCAGGAGATGCTTCCGGATTTGATCCATGGTAGACGAGTCCACCACCTCCGCTTTCATCTGAGTTGAAGATGATTCTTGGAGAGCGTCGGCGCCGAGACCAGCACCATAGCCAAGCGTACCCTCGTTGGCGTTGGCATCGAGGCCAGGGGCCAAAACATCTCGCACAGCCTTATCCACGGCGGTGGTGCCTTCCAAGACGCCGTCATGCTCGACAAAAACCCTCAAAATCTTCCAGAGCAGCAATCGCTCAATCGCACGCTTATGCTCGTGAGAAAGCTGAGGTTGGAAAGAAACTTCAGGTAGTTCCTTTTCCAATGTGTCAATGCCTGAGCTCAACCAAGCGATTGTTTCCTTCTTCTTTGACTTTCCACGCAGCGGCCCAGGGAACTTTGCCAGCCTCTCTTCGAGCGGCTGAGTGTCCTTGATATGCTTAACGTGTACCTCTCCTGGGCTGCGAATGATCATGGGGGCGGTTTGCCCCATACCATAACGCGGCACATTCTTGGGGAAGGAAGTGACCATGGTTCCGCCAACACCCCATGAGATGATTGGTGCGCCTTTCCATCTTTGCAAAGAATCATTTTCGCGACCGTCAGTTGGCGCAACCCAGTTGAAGGTTTGCGAGGGGCCCCGGGGCCGAGAGACGGGGGCATTTACAGGTTGGAAACTTCTAGTTGCTCGAGGAGACGTTGGGCTATGGACCGAGGTCGGCCGAGGCACGGGCTGAGACTGTGGGCGTGCTCCTTGAGAGGATCCTGGTGACTGGGTTTGGGATCTCGGTGGCGGAGCATACCTGTTGTCGGGGGGTGAATCGTGAAGGGCGGCTTGTGGCAGGTAGTTAGACGTGGACCTCTTTGGAGGTGACAACGTTGAGTGCATAGAGGGCCCATGGGATGACGGCGGCGGTGTCTGCCGCGCGACGATTGGCGGCGCCGGGCTATAGCGGGACTCAGCAGGCACACCGTTTGCAGGCTGAGCTGCATATGAAGTCTTCGCATCGTCCTCTTCCTCAACCTCTCGAGTAGTAGGCAGTGATGGAACTCTCCTTGGCTCAAGGCTGTAGCTAGACCTGCGGTCAGGTTGAGGGTGATCCCCATTAGTCGCAGCCGCCTCACGCGAGACCTCAAAATGAGCCAACGGACTAGACGTTCTAGGCAAGTGCGGCAGAACAGTGGGAGGCGTAGTAGCCGCATGGAAAGCGGGTACGGGAGGCCTTGCGGCTGTAGGCGCTGGTGAATATCTACTTGCGGCCGGCGGGCGGTTCGTCCCATTGGTATTCGGTGCCGACGGAGGGGCGGGAGAGTACCTGGCGTTGCCTGGAATCCCAGGGACCTGTTGTTGCGTCGTCTGAGGCGCATAGTGATTCACACGCTCACCAGGCACCAAGTGTGGAATTCCACCCGAAAGCGAACGATTCATGCCAGGAGGCGACAACATGGGCGGTGATAATGGTGACGGAGCAAGCTGAGCCTGGTTTTGAGGCTGAAGAGGTTCAGGCGGTCCAGCCAAAGCAGGAGAACCTACTCGGTAGCTCTGTCGAGAGGCCGATCGTGGTTTTGAAGCCATGGGCAGCTCCTCAAAGAAACTGTCCTTATTCCGAAGCATAGGTACGGGCTTTCCTGCCGGCGGAGGCTGCCCAGAGTGACTTGATGTAGGGGGCGAGGCGCTCGAGGTAGCAGCTCTTGGTGGCGGCGGTGTGGGAGCTTGTATGCTAGAGCTACGCGGAGGAGGCCCCGACGATGGCCCCGTTGAAGGGCTTTGCGGCAGTTGGTTCGTGCTAGCCCTCTTTTTCGGAACAACGACTTCCATGGGAAGATCGTAAGGAGACGTATACCCGCCTTTGGATTGCGCTGCAAAACTCTGGGCCTTGACAGGCTCAGGGCGCGTTTGCTGCGCGTTATAAGGAGTGGCTGACTGGGTGCGCTGGGCAGCGTAAGGGGCCACCGCTGGAGCAAATGGAGTGGCCGCATTCTGAGGCTGGTAGGGCGACGGCACTGCTGGCGCAGTCGGCGCGTAAGGGGAGGAAGAAGCTTGGTGAGAGGCAACGGTAGGAGTATATCGGTTCTGTTGTCCAGCGGATTGAATGACCGACGCCGGGGCCGTAGCGGTTGGCAGGTCATCATCGTCGTCTAGGAAGCCCTCGTCATCGCTACCAAAGAATGCCGATGGATCGACAGGCTTAGACTCGCCGGCCTCGTCGAGTGACTCGTCCAGAAGAAAATCTTCTCCGTCATCATCTGCGAAAGCTTGTTCCCATTTAGCAGCAAGATCGTCAGCTGGCTTTGCTCCAGCATCTTCGGATTGGATAGGCTCTGCAGGCTCCTCCGTCGATTTGGTGATCTCATCAACGTCTTCATCCTCTTCAAGCATTTCGCCCAGCGTATCAGCTCTCGACAGTGTATTGTTATTCATGTCGCCCATAACTTGCATCGTCGATTTTCGCTCCAATGGATGGTTCCCGCTAAAGTCAGGGAAGTCGTCATTGTTGGAGTTCTGGATCTGGCTGAAGAAGTCATCCTCACCTGCCACTTCGTCTCCGAAGCTGGCAAGTTTCTGTTCGGGCTGCGAAACTTCTCCATTGGACTCAGAGTGGGGAATGAGAGGAACCCCTTCCTCATAGCGCGAGCCAAGGTCCTCCTGCTCAGTAAAGGTAGCATCACGGCCGACATAATGCTGGTCATCTTGCGGTTCCTCATTGTCGAAGCCGTTTTCAAAGTCGTTTGCGACATGATTCGTCTCTTCGAAAGCACCATTGTCGAAGTGTTCAGGCGCACTCTCGATTTCATGAATCAAGTCCTCGGCTTGGTTTGACGGAAGAGGCTGTTCCGTGCCAGGGACGGCTGCCGATACTCCACTGGCAGGCGGAACAGGCGGGAATGAATTTGTTCTTTCGTTCGGTGGCATGAACTTGAAAGGATCAGTGTCGGTTCGGGACAGGGTCCATTCCGTATCATGGTCATCGTCCCAGTTGACCTCGTGGGAGACAGTTCGAGTGAAGGAGTTGGTACTAGTGTGGCCCAAGGTGGGTGCGGATGGCTTGGGTTCGTCGGCCACAGCTTGCGGCTGCGGAGCAAGATCGTTGGCCGGTTCGGTGGAGGGAAAGGAATTCGATTCTGATTCGGCAGCTGTGGTCGAAGTTGAAGGTTCTTTGGGGCCGTCGTCGCTCTCGGCCGGGGCATGTGACACTGGTCTCTCGAAGACAGGCCAATCATCTGAAGCATCTTGGCTATCGTGCTCGGCGAGCCAAGGACTGCTTTGTTCCTCTGGCTGACTCTGCAGCTGTGTCGCTTGTGATAGGGGTGTAGGCTCGACATCTTCAGCAAGCTGGCTGTGAAAGGGAGGAGCCGATGGTGAGTCGTGGGTTTCTGCGCTCCAGGGAACCTGAGTTTCTCTAGTTGCATGGCCACTAGCATCGTTGGGCATGAATGCCGGATGCCAGGAGGCGTTCGCGGTGGAATCCATGGTGTTTATCTAATTAGGTCGAATCATGCGGGTTTGCGATGTGGCTAGATCGAAGGCTCGGGGAAACAGCTGGGTCGTTGGTGGTCAGCACGAGACACGATGCGCGAGTCCAGGGGATTGGCGTCGCATAACGCGACGACAAGGTCGGGGGGACAAGTTGAGCGTAAGAGTTGGGTAGAGAAGCCGAGAAGGACGGAGCGAAACCTACATGTACAAGAGAAGCAGAGGTCTAGATAGAATACACATCGACAAACTCCATAGTGAGCTTCAGAGTTTGTGGGTCGAAGGTGAAGATTACAGATGCAAAGGTGGTTTTTTTGCTGGATGGGGGAGAAAGTCTAATGAGCCAAAAGGCATGAAGAAGCATGAGGTGGCCGTGGCTCAAGGTGCAACTGCAAGCTGGCAGGTACGACGAAAGGTATAGGTGGTCTAGCGCGGTACATGCAGCATGTATTTTTGGGTGCGTTAAATGTGGCAAGGTACATGCATGTCTTCAAGGCTCGTGAGGTATCAATGTATCTGTACGGAAATGGCTGCTCTCCAAAAAAAAAAATCCACGAGTCCGTCACCTCAGTGCTGCACTGCTGTCATGGCTGGAATGGTCCACCCAGTCACAGGTCCAGAATCGGGGCCGATTCCGTCATTCCGCCTTCCAAAAGGGGCCACCTCAGAGGTTCAGTCGAACAACTGCGCGGGCTTGCGGCCACATCAGAGACCCGAGGATCCTCCGGGTGCGGCACTGACAGTCTGACAATGACACAAGTGATGACTGAGGTGACATTGATTGTCGTTCCGAGGCACCGTTTCCATGTCAATTAATAGAGGTGGCCAGTCTGGAATGGAATGTGTCACCAATTCACTAGGGAACCGTTTGAAAGAGGTGAGGTGGCATAAGCTACAGGTATCAATATAACGAGAGAATTATTAAGTATCCTGAGGACCTGAGACGACTTTCAGAAGAAAGAAACACGAGGGGGAAAAAAAGACCCGGCTAGGAAGTGTTTTTTACATCAAACATGCGAGTTACCTTACCAAGTTACCAGAGATACTCAACCTGTGTCCCTTCAGGAAACCCAGGGGGCCTATCCTTACATGCGAAAAAGAAGATACTTTGTCGAGATCTGTGAGATGAACTGCTCCCCGCTATAAGGAGGGACAGCTTACATCTGCACCCGCGGCCACCACATCTACCTTATCCGTAAACACCGTTTGCCCACGGCCCCGGGGGTGTTCGGGCAGCGAATTTACAGTGCACTAAAGGCCACGCGGCTGCCTCCGTCACTTAAAGTGCCCCCCGTGTCACCCCTGGAATACCTCCACTACTTACTGAGGTGAAAACTGGATACTGCTCGGACAGCACCCGCCCAATGAGATCGGCTCAGCCTTTCCAGGCGACCTCATTCACGCCTCTAAGCCTCCAAGTCTCCAGGCCTCTCTCGGCATGCTTGCGACAACGGTGTACTTGTCCTAAACACCACGACCCTTCGGCGCCCAACCTATTCATCGCAAAATCTCAACGCCACCGGCGTGACTGGACGGTACAGCTTCCCGTTGCGTACACTTGAGCGCTCGCGCCATCCTCTTACCCTTTCCTACCGAAGCTATCCGATGCAGCTCTCCGAGCAACAGCACAGGCACCCTCGAACGAACTCTATCACGACTTCCCGCACTGCGGCATCTGCCTAAAAAGTTGCTCTTTGCATATACCTCCTCCCAATGCGGGCGGGATGCCTTCTCCAACCTCCTATCGTTCCGCGGACCCGCCAGGCTCCCCAGGGAATGATTCCGATTCAGACCTCGATCTCGACATCCAGGAGCTCGACCCTGCCACAACCACAACCGATCGCACTTCTGGTCTCCTCAGACACGACCGCCAGACCACCGAACATCGATCGCCACGTATAGCACTGCGAAATCTACGCATGGGGGGCTCACGCCGAGCCGGACAAAAGGCCAGGGGATATGGTCAACTCGGCCAGGACCGTGATGGCACCAGCGAGGATGCCGAAGCACTTCTCGGCGAACCCGGAAGCTCTTCATCACGATATAGGGATGGGTCCGCTGGTGCAGGCTCCGACGACGACTCCCCTCTCCTACCTGGCGGCTCGCCTCCAAGGCGTCGATCCTTCGCCGGAGACAGATTCGAGCGACTTACCTCGAGCATAAGACTACCGAGCTTCATGTCGAATTCAGGGGCGCAAGAACCGGACAAGGACGATGCCCAGGACCAAGACGAAGACGATCCATCGAGCGCCCGTCTCATTGCCGTAGGGTCCTCCCAAGCGACGAGATTCCCGCCGAACCTGATATCGAACGCCAAGTACACAGCCCTTACGTTTCTGCCCGTTACTCTGTACAACGAGTTTTCCTTCTTCTTCAACATGTACTTCTTGCTCGTGGCTTTATCGCAAGCGATTCCTCCACTACGGATTGGTTACCTTACGACTTACGTGGCGCCTTTGGCATTTGTACTCTTCATTACCATGGGAAAGGAGGCGTACGACGATATCGAAAGACGAAGAAGAGACAACGAGGCCAACGCAGAGGCATACACCGTCTTGTCCTTCGATGAGCCGGGCCGCGGCATGGCATCGGCACAGCGGACACACAAGAGGCTCAAGTCGGATTCCATGAGGAAGAAGGGTAAAACCTCAGGGGCCTTGAGAGACAGACTCTCGGATATACAAGAGGAAGAGGAACGGGCTGAGGGAGAAGGGTCTGTCGCCCAGCCATCCTCGTCTGTCTGTGAGGTCAGCCGTAAGTCGCGCGACCTTAAAGTCGGCGATGTCCTTGTTCTAGGCAAGGGTCAACGAGTCCCTGCCGACGTTGTGATCTTGAAGTGCATCACGTCGGAAACAACTACAGAGACGCCCGTGATGGAGGTGATCGCGGAAGAAGAGTCGTTACTGGTTGATGCCGAGGAGGATCAATCGAAAGCCCCACAGATTTCCGATACCAAGGGAAAAGAACCTGAGAGCAACGACGTTGGCGGCGGTGCCGCTGGCGAAACATTCATCCGAACTGATCAACTCGACGGAGAAACGGATTGGAAGTTGCGCCTGGCATCCCCCCTGACGCAAAATTTGACAACGGAGGAGTTTGTCCGCCTACGGGTAACGGGAGGCAAGCCGGACAGAAAGGTCAACGAGTTTATTGGCACGGTCGAACTGCTACCCAGTAAACGTGATGCCCAAAGCCAGCAAGGAGCGCTCAATGGAGATGAAGGCAACTCGGCCCCTTTGTCGATAGACAACACGGCCTGGGCGAACACAGTCATCGCCTCGAACGCCACTACTCTTGCTGTCATCATGTACACGGGGCCTCAGACGAGGTCAGCGCTGTCGACTGCGCCTTCACGATCCAAGACCGGGCTTTTGGAGTATGAAATCAACTCGCTTACCAAGATTTTGTGCGCTTTAACTTTGGCGCTTTCCATCATCCTTGTGGCGCTGGAAGGTTTCGAAAACACCAAAGAGAATGTTTGGTATATCAAGATTATGCGATTTCTCATTCTCTTTTCGACTATTGTGCCCATCAGTCTGCGCGTCAACCTCGACATGGGCAAGAGCGCTTACTCCTGGTTCATTCAACGAGACCCCGGCATTGCTGGAGCTGTTGTACGGACGAGTACGATTCCGGAAGATCTGGGAAGAATTGAGTATCTTCTCAGTGATAAAACTGGCACATTGACTCAGAACGAGATGGAGATGAAGAAGATACATGTCGGTACCGTTTCCTATGCTAACGAGGCCATGGATGAAGTTACATCACATGTAAAGCAAGGATTCCACATTCAAGCTACGACTGACCCTTCGTCGCACACCATGTTGATCACGCCTTCTTCGACATTTGCCAATGCGTCAAACGTGGGTGCAACTCGCACAAGGAGAGAAATTGGCACCCGCGTCCGAGACGTGGTTCTCGCTCTAGCTCTATGCCACAACGTGACGCCAACAACAGAGGAGGAAGACGGAAAGACCATCGTGTCTTACCAGGCTTCGTCCCCTGACGAGATCGCTATCGTTCGCTGGACTGAATCTGTCGGACTTCGCCTCGCCTATCGAGATCGCACTAGCATGATTCTCGAGTCGACGGAGAACGGTCGTGAGATTGTGCGCGTGCGTATTCTTGACGTCTTCCCCTTCACGTCCGAGGGTAAGCGCATGGGCATCATTGTTCAGTTCTTCGATCAGACTCAGTCGACGGTGCCGAACCTCGCCAACAGCGAAATCTGGTTCTATCAAAAGGGTGCTGACACAGTCATGAGCCCCATTGTGGCTGAGAACGACTGGCTTGACGAAGAAACCTCCAACATGGCTCGAGAGGGCCTGCGTACACTTGTGGTTGGCCGCAAGCGCTTGTCTTACGAGCAGTACAAGGAGTTTACCGGCAGCTATCAAGCAGCTTCATTAGCTATCGCTGGGCGAGACGCTGGTATGCAACGTGTTGTGGCTCAATACCTTGAGCGCGATCTAGAGCTTCTCGGCGTCACTGGCGTAGAAGACAAGCTGCAAAAGGATGTCAAGCCATCTTTGGAGCTTCTGAGGAACGCAGGCATCAAGATTTGGATGTTGACTGGTGACAAGGTCGAAACAGCTCGATGCGTCGCCGTCAGCTCCAAGCTTGTCGCTCGTGGCCAGTACATCTACACAGTTTCCAAGCTCAAGAAGAAGGATAACGCGCAAGATCACCTCGATTTCCTTCGTGGCAAGACGGATTCTTGTCTCTTGATCGACGGCGAGAGTCTGGCCCTCTTCCTCACCCACTTCAGGATCGAATTCGTCTCCGTGGCTGTGCAACTCCCGACGGTTGTTGCATGTCGATGCTCGCCCACGCAGAAAGCCGAGGTTGCCAAGCTGATTAGGGAGTACACCAAAAAGAGGGTCTGCTGTATTGGTGACGGAGGCAACGATGTTTCCATGATTCAAGCAGCAGACGTTGGTGTTGGTATTGTGGGCAAAGAAGGTCGACAAGCTAGTCTGGCAGCAGACTTCTCGATTGAGCAGTTCTACCACCTGACTAAATTGCTGGTCTGGCACGGGCGCAACAGTTACAAGCGCAGTGCTAAGCTCGCTCAGTTTGTCATCCATCGTGGATTGATTATTGCGGTCTGCCAGACGATGTACAGTATTGCCATCAAGTTCGAGCCCGATGGTCTCTACAAGGTATGTTGACTCCTGATGATTGTACACATGCATTTTGGTTGCTAATCTTTACTCGTAGGATTGGCTTCTCGTCGGATATTCTACCGTGTATACTGCATTCCCCGTTCTCTCTCTCGTCCTTGATAAGGATGTGGACGAAAACTTGGCAAACTTGTACCCGGAACTGTATAAAGAGCTCACTTCCGGCCGCTCCCTGTCTTATCGTACCTTTTTCGTTTGGGTTGCTGTTTCGATCTATCAAGGCTGTACTATCCAAGGTCTGTCACAGCTCTTGACTGAAGTCGACGGACCCAAGATGGTGGCGGTTTCATACACCGTCCTAGTTCTCAACGAGCTTCTCATGGTCGCCATCGAGATCACGACGTGGCACCCTGCCATGATCATCTCCATTGTTGGCACGTTTCTCATCTTCGTCGGCTCCGTGCCGTTCCTTGGTGGTTACTTTGATCTCCAATTCATCATCACTTTGTAAGTCATCTTGCGGCCATGCTTCATGAGAATTCAATAGACTAACACGATGCAGGGGATTCATCTGGCGCGTCATCGCCATCGCGGCGATATCTCTCATCCCACCCTATGCGGTGAAGCTTATCAGGAGGACGATGAAGCCGCCCTCGTATAGAAAAGTGCAGAGCACGTAGAAAAGGCACCAGCGTGTTGTGTTGTCGTTGTTGTATGAGATCTTCTTTGTATCTATCTTCAAAGCTCTGTGTTAGGGCGTCTGGGATCGGTGTCAGCGAACGGATCCGCGGCCATTCAAAGGGAACGGCCACTGCGGTTTTTGCATTATTAGGCGGAGTTTGACGGGAGGGGCCTGGGAAACTTTTTTTCTCCACCTGTTGTACGGTATTGTTTGGATGGAACCTTCGACAGCCCAGAAGAATTAGACAGCGTTATCGAAATTTGAGTTTATCGGGCAACATCCTGCTCCCTTTTTACATCAATGTGGTTTACATGGCTTCGCTCTATGGGATGATATACAAGAACTTCCCACTCTAGTGAGGTTTTACTCTTACAACTTGAGAACAATCCAGTCCTTCAAGATATCCGGGTTCCGCCTCTGCATCGCGCCCAACATACCCCCCACAGGCCCTTGCAGCTGCCCACCGTCCCGCCACAGCTTGGCGCCCGCGTACGCTTGCACAAACCCCTCGGGCCCGGAAACCACAAAGAGGTTCTTGCCCCGCGGCGCGGCGTCGTCGGCGGAGCAAGCGCAGTCGTCCTGCTTGAAGAGGCTTCTCTTCCCGGCGTTGGGCGCGCCGTCGACCATGCCGAAGTGTGCTGTCTGGGAATGGAATTTACAGCCTTCAACGGCGTGGGTCGGCGTCGTACCAGCAGAGGTCCTGGGGGAGGATTGGAGAGTGAGCGCCGCGGCGAGGTCTGCTTCGCGGACGGCGGTGCCTTCTTGGTCTACTACCACGCGGACGTCGAGCCTGTCGCCGTACTTTACTTTGAGGGCGAGGAGGTCTCTGCTTATGGGCGAGGGGGCGGCGAGTGTATCTGCGGAGAGGAGGGCCTCGGCTTGGGATCCGGGGGCGTTTTTGGGTGATGATGAGAAGGGGTTCCACCAGCTCCCGGACGACGACGATGATGACGGCTTCACCTGTGACGGCACGGCGTGGCCCCCGGCCAGCTGCTCCCGAATCTCATCGCGGCTCCTGACGGCCCAGAAGATGGTCATGGACGGTCCGTCTGCGAGCGGGAGAACGGCGTGCGCTGCTTGTAGTGCGCTGGCGATGCCCGTTCCGCCCGCGAGAAACACAACGCGGTCGCCTCGTTTGCCTAAGCGGGAGCGGAGGTCGAATTCGCCGTGTGGGCCGCGGAGTTCAACTTTATCGCCCTTTGTTGCGGTGCCGTCTGATGATGAAGAAGAGGAAGAAGGGGGTGCTAGACGGCTTAGGTACGTCGAGACTTCACCCCCTCGCACAGCACGAACGTAGAGGCGGAGAGTATCCTCGTCATATGAGGAGCCCGGGATAGGGGGCAGGGGAGTGTACTCCCTCGCGACCTGGATCTGGGGCTGCTTCACCTCCACGCACCAGAGGTCGAAGATGTCCCAGAGGGAGGATACGCTCGCGACGTTGCTGCTGGAGTGGGACGGCGGTGCCTTGAGGGTTAGGATGAAGGAGGTCGGGGAGACCTGCTCGCGGGCGACGACGTCGAAGGGGATGAATTTGCGGGCTGGGCCGAGGGCTGTTTGCTCGGCTGGGTCGTTGGATTGGGGCGTGGAGGGGAAGAGCCATTGAGCGTCCCACGCTATGCCGCCTACTGCTAGGAGGAGGAGGACGGGGAGGTAGCGGGGGCTTATGAAGGTGGAGGATTTCCGGTTGGGTGGGCGATGGGGATGGGGGACGGTGGTGGAAGTCGTCGTTGACTTAAGGCGATGGTGACGTGTGGTTGAGGAGGAGAGTGCGGGTGGTGATGTTGGTGTCGTTCGCCGGTTCGTCCAGGCTGAAAAGTGACGTGACAGTTGTGTTGGATGCAGTGAAGTTAATGCCGGTGTCGTTGACCGGGATGCAGCTGCGGCGGCCGGAATGGCACGGAGCTGAGATCGGATGTGGATGAGAGAGCGCCCGGCGATCGGCCGGAGAGCCGCACCGCCGGCAGAGACGAAGGTAGAAGCCCCCATCAGTTTCTCGGCACCACCTGATCTGATTGGGAGTAGAGACTTTCTGAACAAATTGGCGCGTAGCTTCTCCAATAATCTCTTTCGAAAACGAGGTGCAGTGGATGGTGATGAAAGTCTATGATGAATGCTCCAAGTGGGCTAGTTCCGCTGGGCGAAACTGGTATGCGCGCGGTCACGTGAGTCGCTTGTTTTACTGTGGTCAAGAAACACTTATACACCCGGGATTGATGGACACATATGTTCGACATTGTCTCGACGTCGTCAACACTTGATTGAATTGAAATCTGGATTGAGGTAATTTGGGGGTACTACTTCGTCGTTGGATTTTACAGTGCACTCGGAGAAATCCTATGTAAAGGCGACTCAAAACCAGAAATCACATCAGCTTCCTCAAAGTAAGTGGTACTTAACTATGCAGCATTCAAAAACCCGTTGCAAATAGTATGCTACCCAGCGTAGAGCGGAAAGATGCACAGGCTCCGAATGGCTTCTCTTTCTCAATCTTCATGATACGTAAGTTGGTACATTGGTAGCGATTAGAACGATCTCTTTGCCGTCTCTGACCGGCTTATGGGGTTGCTGTTTTTTGGGGAAGACACTTTACTAGGTCTTTTGGCTCAACTTCCAGTCCGCAGGAGCTCCATATCAACTACTGAGAATGTGGTACCTGATAACCCGCTATCGCACTGCTGTAGGTAGGTGTAAGTGATCTCATGAGTTCACACACTGAATCTCGCAATCCAGCTCAGCCACGCTCTCAAATCACAAGATCAGAGCGTATAAATCCGTCTGTAAATGAAGGTGGCCGACTGTCTATTATCCACCGGCCTGACGAACCTTGGAGCCGATTTACTGATTGAAGGCGGTTGTGATGTGTGAAAGTTTGCAACTCTGTGACAGAGGGCCTAAGCAGAGATCACCAACCTCAAATTCAAAAGTGTCGCCCCTCTCTCCTCGGTGTTTAAAGACATTTGTACTCACGAATACGTACACAGGGGCGAGTAACTATAGGGGGAAGGGGAAGTTGGTTCTGAAAAGTTATAGTTTAGACAGTCTTAACGTGTTTTTACAGCCTTGGTCATTGTGCTTCTTGGTATTCTTTTATTATTATTTCTGTTAGAGCTTATCGTAGTAGGACTTCGACGTTTTTTGTTCGTGTCGGTAATTTTTTTCTTAACGCCATGGCCCTAAATTAGCATTTCCCAAAGACTGACTGCGGGCTGATTGTGCTTTGGAGCAAGTCAAAGCTTACCATGGCTTCTAAAGTTTATCGTTGTGACCAGTTCAAGCCAATTGAACAATCTCATACCACTCTTCATGACCTTACACTACTCTTCATGGCCTCACATCACTCTTATAGCCTTATATTACCCTTTACGGTCTCATATCACTCCTTACGGCGTTACCAAAGAATATTTACCCACGAATACGTTCGGGGACACGAGTGTCGTAGCGTGAAGGACGCCTCGATCTTGCTCGATAACAGCCACCGTCCTTGGGCTCCAGAACTGGCATCAAGTAGAACGACCTCTCTGCCCTGGAGCGCAAGGAACTGCGTCTTCCTCTACCTTAATGAAGCCAGAAAACTGTCTTTGTGCGAAGGTATGGAGGAGGGGTCGAGAGCCTTGGTTGTATAGCATCTGAGTATCTCGTAGGCGGTCTTGATGATGAAAGTGTGTACTCTCAAAGTCTCTCAATGCGAATCTTGAAAGTCTGTGTCTGCGATACTCGAGCCTCTATCAAGTCTGAGAATTTCAAAACACCCTAGTGCCATCGTGGAGATGTCCCCCACTCTATGTTATGATACAAGCAACTCTTACACTCTTCCAGCTTCATCACACAAACACATACACTCTATCAGAGTCTGATGATCTTTCTATCCTCGTCAATACCACCCCGAAACATGTCAGCAACGACTCGGCCCCCGAGAACCGTCTCGTTGACGATGCCCTCAACGTGCTTCGGCTCAACCCGACCATACCAGATCCCCTTTCCAGCCAGAGGATGCTTCTCCCCGTTAGCCATAAGCTGCCCGGGCGGGATATAGATGATGATGTTCCCCGCAAACTTGTGACCGCCAATATGGCTAATCAACCCAACCCTCGCCGACATCTTCTGATACCCCCTCTCATCACCATCGCTCTCAGTAGACGCCTCAGGCGCCGTAATCCTCCCAGTCTCCTCACCACTCTCATCAACCACAACAGGCCCCCTCAAAACACCGACCCCAACCCCCTCAAACCTCCTCTCAAACTCGTCCCTCAACACGGGCCCCATGACGCCGCACCGCATATCCCGCCCGCCGTGCCCGCAAATCAACACCAGCACCTCCTCCACGTCCCGGACCCCGTACAGCAGCGACCGGTATGCCTCTTTACGCGTCAGCCGGTCCCGGTGGATCGGCGACAGGCTCCCGTCGTGCATCTTGTGCAGCTTCTCAGGGAGTAGGTAGCCCTTTGCGAGCGCCTGGACGCTATCGAAGCTGACGCGTGGCAGAAACGGCACGTACTTGAAGCTCGGGAGGAGGTAGGCGCTCGTGGTCTGCAGCTCGCTCCGCTTTGGTACGGAAGATGGGAAGGAGGCGTTTAGGGTTGAGATGTTGTGCCAGGGCTGTTGTTTTGGCGGGAGGTTTCACTTACCGTCAGCCCAAGGTGTTCTCATACAAATCTCATATCAAAGTTCACAAGAGAGACAAAGGCGGGATTTGTATAGCAACAGGACACATGGCTACTGACAACCCAGACGGCAGTTTTGCTGGCAGACTATGCTGGACCTCAGAAATTCAGGAGGCATGTACACTTGTACATGCGTTCCAAGGCTCGACTGCTCCCAAAGCAAAAAAGAGCAGAAGAATAAAAAAAAATGAATGAAAAAAAAAATTGTCGAGAAGAAAACTTACATCGCTATACTCCCCCCCGCGGCCAAACAACTCCTTCAAATCCGCCGCGAGGTTATCCCCGCTATTCTCCTCCTCGATCCTCGACACCCAATCGTCCTGCCCCGTGCACACGAGCACCTGCTCGGCATACCCCGAGACGACGCCGTTGAGCGGGCTCTTGAAGTCAATGTCCAAGCCCTCGGGCATCGCCGGCGTCGCGGCGCACTCGCACGTCGGCGACGGACATGTCGGGACGAGCTCGAACGGCGGGGGAGGCGCCGATGGCCTGCTTGCCTGCGGTCTTGCTTTCGACTTTGGCGAGGACGATGATGACGATGTTGAGGATGACCAGAAGCTCACGCTGGTGGTGAAGGTGCGCTGCTGCTGCTGTCGCCGCCGCGTCGGTAGCGATGACGTTGATGACGACACTGACGGGGATGAGGTGGCCGCCGCGCGATGGCCTCGCGCGAGACGCGGTGCGGCTCTTGCTATCGAATGCATCATGTCCCTTTGGATATCTGATGTACGGATACGTCTCTTCGCCAATATAACGCCAAGTGTGTACTCTTTACTATGCCGGGATTCCGACGAGATGCTGGGCGTGTACCAGAAGGGGGGTGGGTGGCGTCGTAACCGCCAACACCTAACTCAGGCAGAGCCGCGATCGACGTCACCAATCAAACAGAAAGAGAGAGAGAAAAAAAATTGGGACTATTGTCATCAAAGCTACGGATACCCCGTACGATGAACAATACGACAAATTTCCGCGGGATCGTAAAAAAGGTGCCCCAGAGAGGAGAATGCGAACTTTGCAAGCTGAGGCGCAGATTGGTAATTGGCAATTGCAGACAGGTATCCATAGCTCTCGGTAGTTGGTCACTCAAAAAAAGAAGAGTCAAGGCTCCCCTGCGCCGCCCCTCTCCTCGGCGCTCGCTGCGGACCTTGGCCCCGGCGCCGAGCGGGAGGGAGAAAGGACCGGGACACCTCGAAAAGGCTACCCGAAAACCCCGGGGGGGAATGTTCTGTGGCGGCCTACGCAGCGATGCGATTCATGCGGATGTCTGATCACTTCTCTTATTGTGGTAATGTTAGGTAATCCCTCATTTCTCACTGGCGCGGCCGATAGCCGGCGGGGAGATGGAGAGTCCACCATCCTGTCTGTGTGTATGTAGGTACTGCGTTATGTAGCCTGTAAGTTCCAACGTTCCCCAATGTTTTTTTCTGCTTCTTGAGACGGGTACCGCCGGCCGGCCGGTACTGTAAAGTTATGTCCGGCTGATACATCCTCTTATTTCGCTACGGACACAACTTCTCTATTCCACGATACTACATATCTCCCGCTGTCGTATGCGGATTTGCACGTGAAAGCAAATTTCCGCATCCGAACACCGTCTGCCCGTCTCCAGGGGG